TTATGCCAAACCTGTTTTTCTACATCTCTCAACCAAATCGAGCTTGTATTTATCCTTCAACTTTGAGCATCCATCAAATGCAGTGTTTAATTATATAGGAGTAACATGTGACCTGGCGCCAAAAAATTCTTTCAATAATCTTTATTTTGATAAATGTAGGCCTAACTTCTTCATTTTGTAAGTTTAGCCCTGTAACGAGGGTAAACTTGAATAAGGAGAACTAGACCTCCTTCTCGTTTCCTAACTGAAACCACAGCTTGTTACCTTTGATTGACTTAAGTAGTCGAAGTAATAGGCCGTCGATGATACGGAGAACTGCATGTATCATATGTTAAAGAATTTCCATAAGCATGAAGGATGCAACTTCCCTTTGTGATCGTCGTCTAGAGCATCTAATACTTTCTTGATGTTTTCGATGTTATAGTTGGATGTCAGAAATTCACTAACTCTAATATCGATTATGAACTCCATCTTGTAATAATAAAGTAATTTAGTAATTAAAATAAGCAAAATTAAACACAGTACATGATCCTCATTGGCCCTTGCAGTCTGTGAGGATTGTACATCACCGAACCCTATGATCGGTGAGGTTTCAATCCTCATCGACCTCCTATAGTTGATGAGGATTCTACGATTTTTTAAAACTCAAATTTATAGCACAATGTACAAATTTAAATCACAATGTACAACAAATAGGTGTAATTTGTTGTATTAATTTATGTTATAGTTGACCTCAGTAGAATAAGTAGAGGGGACATGTTAGGGCATAATTAGAGAGACATGTTAGGACATAATTAGAGGAGAAATTTAGGAAGTTGTCTAGTTTTTCCTATATATTTTTTGTTTTAACCTCTGAAATTTAAGAACTTAAATATATGAAATTCCACAATTCAACTTATGAATTGTCTGTGTTCCATTGTGTCCAAAAGTGGCTGCAATTGTGTGTGTGCATTGCATGCGTGGGGTATTTCATTGTGCAATACTGTGAACTTCTAACTGGGTCTCTTGAAAAGCTTATAGTATAAATTAATCTATCTTTTTAATATCCTTTGAGCCTTCCCAATGCTATTAGCAATTGATTGCAATTCTTTATTTTTTAATATATATATTTACTTGGAGCTTATTCTAAAGAATTTTAAGATACTTTATATGTTTTACGTGTGAGTTGTTCTATGAACTAGTTCTTTGGTTTTCTTCATAGTTTTTACTTTTTAGCATTTCTACTTACATGATGAGTACTGAGTGATCTAATATTACAAAGAAATTCCAAATGTAACATGGGATGCAATATGATGCCTGACGGGGCTTACTTTGCCAAGCATAAAACTCTTGTGATCACCTTGCTAATTGTTTCTATTTACTAATTTTCAGCCATTCCCGTCATCGTTGTATGACTTGCTGGAGCAAAGTTTACCCTTTTACAACATGCTGAGGCATCATGCATTAAGGAGTCGTTATTTTATTAAATCTCCCCATCCCAAACTTCCAAATTCGGCCAATGAGAAGCTGCTTGTTTGGGTTGACAATGATATTGTGCCCCGTGAAAGCGCGAAGGTACTTTCATCATAAAAGACTAGGAAGTTAGGATTAAGAGAAATCAATTAATAATCAGCTCTTAATTTGAAGTTTCTGAAAGTTCCTTAACTCTGTTTCTTCATTGGAATCCTCAGGTTTCAGTGTTTGATTCCGTTGTCCAAGGAGGTGATGCTGTTTGGGAGGGAATTCGAGTTTACAGTGGGAAGATATTTAAGCTTGAAGAGCATCTAGATAGGTTAGTGAAATGAACTAACAAAATCGATTGTATATTATTAGCTTCCATGCAACCAGTAGATGTTCACTGTTCAAAATTTTGTGACTGTAATTGTGATGGTATGCACTTTTCCCTTCGTTCACTTTTATATTGTACTCAATTGATCATCAGGGGCTGTAGAAGGATTGAATTGTATCCAAAGAACAGGGGGATACAAAAAAATAATAAGAATCATGGTGGGAGCTTATTTTCTCTGTTGTGATATCACATCCTACAATAAGTTGATTGATAAGCATGGCCAGTGAACTCCCTAAATTACCAATACTATGAGGTTGAACAAGTTGATTATGAGTGTCGCCACTATTCTTTGCAGAATAATGACTTTAATGGTGTCTTTGGGAACTGTGATATTTTCTAATCCAAGAATAAGTTAAAAAAAAATTTCAGCTGGAATTATGAACTAAACCCGTGAAATTAACTCCTACAAGAGCTACAAAAACAAAGAAAATAATCTATTATGTCACAGGAAATGATTTTTGAATTTTGATCTAAGTTCCTCCTTCATCAAGTTCTGAGGGGATCTGTTGATTTAGTGCAAAAGGTTCTAGTCTGCTGAAGTTTGATCTGTGGATTGTTTCTCCGGATTGGCGATTCATCTATGAAAATGTTCAAAACCAGATCAAGAAATGGGACAAGAAGAAGTTTTGGAGATCCAGCTGATTTAGATGTTAAATTAGAAAATCTAGCGGCACATAGAAGAGAGAGTATCTTCATTCTCAGAGGAAGAGGGATTTGAGTGCTTGTGCTAGTTTTGCTGGAGATAAAAATCTGGAGCTATGTGATATCAAACACAGAAATATGTAGTGCGCTGGGGGAATACCTATTGAGCTAAACGAAGAATGGGTTGTATTAGGCTGCATGGCAAGAATGGTGTCAAATTTAAATTAGGAGCTCATAGATCTAGATAGTTTTAGAGTAACTTATTTATGTGTTCACTGTGGTTCAATTTTACAATGAAAGGAGCTTATAGTTCTAGATAGTTCTTGGAGTATTAATTAGTCCAATGTAGGCTAGTCCATGTTTCTGGATATGAGTTCAGCTGAGCAAAGAGTAATAAATTCTCAAAAAGAATATTCTCCACAGAGTCTGTGATTGAAGCAAGATCAGTAACTTAAAAAGGTTGGAGCCTTTTTTCACTGGATCTAGAAATTTGTAGTGTTTGTTTAGCAATCTCTTACACGGACTGCCCATCCTTTTTGGAGCCTTGGTAATGAAATCTTCACCCGTTGAACGAGGTAAGCAAATTCTCGTAGTAGAGTTGATTGCAATAACAAAATCGTCATCATCTGAGGGGAGAAAATATATTGGAGGATATATACGATAATTTCTGGTAGAAACTGTAGACATGTAGCTAGCTATACATGGTGCAGAAGATGCTGAGTGGTTAGAAAACCTACAATTTGGATTAGCCCAATTTATGGAATGGGACGTAAATATGATTTGATATCTATTCTAAATGTGAACTATCAGGCCAGGGTGAAGCTGCTTTAGTTTACTTGATATCTTCTGATGGCATAGTAATTACATAGTGATAGTGTTCTATCATCACTCATGGAGGGTAATACAAGTGTTTCCTACTCTTTCAATAAGGTTCTAGGAAAAAGGAAGATACTAGAACTGGGCTGAATTCTTCATTGTACATTGGCATGTTAAGATCAGAATTCAAATATGTTTTATATTTTATAGTACTTTTTTACTACAATTGGGTTACTAAACTATTACCAACAAACTAATATAGCCTAACTGATTGGTCTGAAGTGCTTATTTCCAAGTTGCCATATAGTAGCAGACCTAAGTCTGCAGGAGAAACTCAACAATTACACCTCTGATGGAACAAGGTTGATTCTAGTCATATAGGTGAGGGTTGGACCACTAACATTGTTACATGAATAATGCCACCAGCCAATGACCGAAATGTTATGCTTAACTTCATGTAGCCTAGTAATAGGAACCAAGTTTATGGATGGAACTAAAAAAATTACCCCTTTACAATGTGGATGTGGTTTGCAATCTTATAGGTAATGATGAGTACCAGGATAACTGAGTGTTGGAGAAGTAAATGATGATGGTAGGATGCATAATGAACTTTGACGTATTTGGAGTCATAAATAATTTTTTTTTTTTTAATTTAACGTTCTTCCTCATGAGAGTCGAACCCTGGTCACTAACCTAGTAAGACTTTTTTCTTACTTGATCTAGGCCTTGATCTCAAATGATAAAATAAAGTTAGTAACGACATGTTCTAATTTTCAGGTTGTTTGATTCATCAAAAGCTCTAGCTTTCAGAAACATGCCAACTCGTGAAGAGGTAGGTGATTTCACAACCCTTAAATAAAGTGTCTGATAAATTCTAGACTTATTGATGCTCAACGTTTCGAATTACAAACTTCTTGGTGCCTTTGGTTTTTTGACATAATTTCGAATTTCAGCCTGTATACTGACCAACTCTATATTCATTATTTCTGTAGGTCAAGGAAGCCATTTTCAAAACTCTCATAAGGAATGGAATGTTTGATAATGCACATATTAGGTTGACTCTGACACGTGGGAAAAAGGTAACTATTTACATTTCTTTTAGTGTATTGGTCTCTTATTTGCAGGAATGTTTATCATATGAATACAATTCACTTCCCTAATAGAAAAGCAAAATAACACGGACATGTTTCGAAGCAAAAACGGTTATTACTGAAGATATATAGTCCATGGTAGGTTTAGCTAAAAGTATAGCAAACAACACTCTTCAAATGGATTGCTTCACTCTTAAAATGCTTCAACAATTTTTTGTTTGACACATCATACTTTTCCTTTTTTGCTTGCCATTTCTTTTTGGTTTGTGTGCAAACGAGGGAGGGGAAAACATGTTACTTGATGAGACGAAAATCAACATTCCTTCTGATGGAAGGAAATAACTGTCACTTGGCTTTCTCTCGTTCTTGAAAAATAGCTTTTTGAAGATCAATCCTATATGGCTAAACTTTTTCGGGGACTTGATCATGTGTTAATAAATAATTGTGGTTAATCATTTAATCCCTTGAATAGTTGTTTAAAGGATATTCACCCCGATTACTTTGGTTTGTGTTCATTTGCCTATTCAATCATTTATGTGCCCCTCCATATTTATTAATGTTGGAGTAAAAGAACAAGAAGG